TTTAATCTAACGGTCAGGGGTTCGAGTCCCCTACGGGGCTTACATTTTGCGAGTGGTCGACAGACACTAATTCGCTTTGTTCTGCACAAGGAATATAAAATTTCATTGTTTTCCCCAGTTTTCGGTTTCTTACTTTTATTTTTATCTAATGAAACTTTATATGTCTAAACTGGCTCTTGACGCAGATCTAGTAGACAAAATCACATAATTTGTTCAAATAAAATGCCACTTCCATAAATCTGCTTTGAACACCTGCTTCGAATATGACGTCATTTACCCATATATTTTCTTCCCGTGTGTGTAGCTGCGTAGTTATTAGCAAGCCGCTGCACCGTTGGGTTATTCTATCGATTATTTTATTTTCTTTCCCATAGCTGACCATTTTCCTCAAAATCGAATGCTCTTGCAGGACTCAACAGTGATGCCACTGGTAATCAATAGATTATTTTTCCTTGGTTATAGGATTGTTTTTGTATCGAAAAGCGATACGAAAACAATCTTTTGCCGACGCAACTGCAGCATTTACAGCCTTTTGCAGTTTTGCGTGTGCTTGGGGCGTGTGCACTTTGCTTGCTCGCTATCGCCTTTCGTAATTTTGCGGACAAATGTCATTAGAGAAAATGCTGTAGTGGTCAAATATCTGTTTATTGTACAGTGGTAGTGGATTGTTGATACAGTTGTGTGCTTTTCGCACTTGGTGCACATTGAGCAAACATAAGTCTTCATTAGGACATTCATGCATGTCCATTTTTCAAAAAATCGGTAAAAAAATCCAAAACTTTTTATTCCAACTTTACTCGGTCCAAAATGTTGCAAATGGTGGCTTGCGTTATTGATTTTTTCTTATGCGAGGCGCAGCATTAGCGCACGCGCCGCGGCATTCCGTAATGCACGTTTCGCGCAAGGAAAGGCACAAAATTCAGAAATGGTGACTGCAAGTTATTGTACAAAATAGAACATTTTCGTCTAATTCAACAAAAATTGTATTTTACATTTTACATGTAGAGGGGAAAGTTTTCATTTTACATCTCCCATTTTTTCTCTATCCTCCCCTCCCCCCTCTTTCCTTCAGCGTTGTTTTTTTCTGCATTTTCCCATAACAATCGTTCCTGGCTTGATTTTTTGTTGGCTGAAAAGCACTTCTGCCTAAAGGAATGTTTCCATCGCAAAATATTGATATCCATTAAATACTTATAAGAATAGATAATAATCGAAGCACAGACTTAAGTTCTACTTGAATGAAGCTTTTTGCCTGGCTGCACCGTGACTGATATTTGAATCCTGCTTACTTCCTATTTCAGACTTGAACGAGCTGTCCTATTCGAAACTGGTGACGCTAAATGCAGAAATGGAACAGCTCATACAAGTTTACAACGAGAGCCTTGTTGATGAGCTAGCGCACAGGTAAATTTTGATTATTTTAAACGGGATGAAGAAAAACAAGCTTCCATTTCCAGGGATGAGCTGGAGTACGAGAAGGAAATGAAGAACACATTCATCTCGTTGCTTTTATCTATTCAAAACAAGCGGCGTCAGTTCGCAAATGAGCGGAAGAGGAAAGGAGTGAGTCTGACAGTTCGTGCATCACATAATTACGTATAGATAGTCGCGGACGCAGCAGATAGCCTTGCAATTACTAGTTGGTTGCCCGCTGATAAATGGTGCAACGACGACGCGCCGCAGCATCTGCCGCGTTGCGTCCGTTTCCTGCGTCAATGACTTATCTATGAATAAGCTTATAAGAGCTATGCATGGCCAGTTTTTGCGCTAGGTATCAATCTAGACTAAATTCTACATGTGATGATCGTTTCATTGCATGAGTTGTGTCCTTTAAAGGGACGCGGCTCTGTGTTACCGCAGTTGGTCAATCTCCCGCCGGGAAAAGTTGCCTGGAAGCGACGATCGGTTAGTGCACCGAAGTGTATCTCCGAAGTGTATCTAACTTTTTTCTGGTGCAGTTCAGTCGTTGTATAGTTTTTTTAAGAAGTTTAAGACATAACTACGGGTCAAATCATAACGCGCTGTTGTAAAAGAGCTTCGTAGTTGTTAGGAAGTGTGTGGCAAACTTTGATTTCAGTATTTTATATTTACCACTTTCAGACCAGGATCGATCCATCTCAACTGCCGCAATATATGACGGCCAGTATTCCATACAATGATCATCAACATATGGATAACGCTACGCTTTGTTCATTGATAAAAAGTTAGTATGGCATTTGCATTTGACTTGAGCAAGTAATTAGTAAGGAGGATCCTCCCTGGAAATGGGTCGCGAAATTTTTATAAGCGATCTTGTTGGTTTAGAAAACGTGACAGTGGCTTTTTCATTTTTTATGTTTCATTTAAGTACAAAATTTGCAAAATATCTGAAGATTCCTCAAAGCAAAGAGCATAGGATATTTCCTTTTATGAAAAACTTAGCACATTTTGTCTCGAAATTTCAATACCATTTCATTGTTAGTTTCATTGTTTATCGAACACGTATGTCATTTTCATAATGTTAAAGGTCATAGTTGAAAAGGTTGACTAAAAATGGGGTTATTATTGAATGAAAACACATTGAATATGCATTGATAGGTAGGCTAAACAAGCTCTTGGTAGAACCTGTTAAGTAGATGACACATCAT